GCTACCTGCGGCGCATGGACGTCTTCACGGAGGCCGAGCTGCGCGTCAAGTTCCTGCAGGCGCGGGACGCCTGGCTGCGCTCCATCCAGGCCGCCCTCCCCGCCGACGACCCCTACGTGCACGTCGCCAAGACGGTGGAGGCCTGCCGCGTGCACCTCTTCGACGTGGTCACCCAGTACCGCGCCATCTTCTCGGACGAGGAGCCCCTGCTGCCCGCCGGCGAGCCGGCCGTCACCGAGAGCGCCATCTTCCACGGCTGGGTGCTGCAGAAGGTGGCGGAGTTCCTGCGGGTGCTGGAGAGCGACCTGCAGCGGGGGGTGGGCGGCCGCTTGGACTCGCTGCTGGGGCAGTGCATGTACTTCGGCCTGTCCTTCAGCCGGGTGGGGGCCGACTTCCGCGGCCAGCTGGCCCCCGTGTTCCAGCGCGTGGCCATGGGCGCTTTCCGCAGGGCCGTGCAGGAGGCCGCGGACAGGTTCCAGGAGGAGATGAACTCCTACACGCTGATCTCGGCCCCAGCCGTGCTGGGCAGCACCATCCCGGTGTCCGTGCCCTCTGCCCAGCCGGGGACGCTGCAGCCGCCCATGGTGCTGCTGGACTTCCCGCCTCTCGCCTGCTTCCTCAACAGCGTCCTCGTGGCCTTCAATGACCTGCGGCTCTGCTGCCCCGTGGCTCTTGCCCAGGACGTGACCACGTCCCTGGAGGCGGCGCTCTGCACGGTGAGGTGCTGGGGACTGCTTGGTCTCTTGTGCTCCCATCCCTTGCCTGCCCCTGGCAGATGGGCAGGACTCGGGGGTCTGGTACCACGATACAACCTGGCTGGCATCCTGGTGCCCCCTACACATTGTGGCGGGGCCCGGGCTGACGATCCTCACCCACATCTCATCCCCGTACAGGTGACCACCGTCATCCTGGCATTTCACCGGGCCGAGGAGGCGGCTTTCAGCAGGCGGGAGCAGGAGCTTTTCATTCAGTTCTGCACGGCCTTCCTGGATGACCTGCTCCCCTACCTCAACCGCTGTCTCCAGGTCCTCTTCCCGCCGGCCCAGATTGCGCAGGCCCTGGGTAAGCTGCCCACCCCAGCTCCTGGTGGCCTCCTTAGCTGCCAGTGGAGGCACCTGCTGCCCTGAGTCCTGTGCTGGGTGCCCTGCTCTGACCTGCAGACAGGCTCCAGCTGAGTGACCTCTCCCTTCCCTCCGCCAGGGGTGCCCCCCACACAGCTGCAAAAGTACGGCAGCCTGGGCTGCGTGGATGCCAGCAGGATCGGGGAGCCTCTGGCCTTTATCTTGCCACCCAAGGAGGCAAGCTTCATGCCCGCTGAGGAGAAAGAGCTGCCCCGGGAGAGCCCAGCACCTGTGCCAGCCCCGGAAGTGCCAGGCCCAGAGCAGGAGGCAGACCCTACCACCCCATCTCTGTGCGAGGCTGAGGACCAGAGCAGTGCGGATGCAGGGGATGTTCTGCAGCCCGAGGGACCGGCAGCTGCCACCTAGCGCAGGGAGGGAAGTGCCTGGTGGAGCCTGTGTGGTCTGTGGGAGGTGCAGGCTTTCCTTGCTCTGCTAAGTGGAGGGCAGATTGGCCTGCAGCTGTCCTGAGCCCTATGTAGGGGCAAGGCCGGGCTGGGGCGAGGTGGTGGGGGGCAAGTGTCCTGGTCAAGGCAGGGAGCAGCACAGAACCTGCCACCTCTGGAGGATCGGTGGAAGCCTCTCGGGCCACAGGCCGAGGCTAGACATACTCCAGCCCACTCCCCAGCAGAAGCCAGCCTCCCTGGCACGGGCAATGGGGCTGCATGCTCTGAGGCCGGTGGTGCAAATAGGAGCAGTTCACTGCGGAAGCAGGATCCGTGTGCAGCTGGTTTGGGAAAGGTGCTGGGTCTTACGTGAATAAAACTCATTGTCAATCACCTGTGCCTGCAGAGCTCCCTGCCCTCGGTGCGGCTGCTGCCCCATGCCTACAGTTTTGGAGCTGGGGGAAGGCAGGGGCCTTCCCTGTCGGGCAGCTGCAGCTGGGTGCTGCTATAACACTGGGGGTACTGGCTCCCCCCCACCTCTGGAGGTCATATTTAGTCCAACCCCTTGCTCAAAGCAGGATCAGACCCAACTACATCATCCCAACCAAGGCTTTGCCTACCTGGGTTTTAAAAGCCTCCAAGGATGGAGATGCCACCACCACCTCTGAGCAGCCTGCTCCAGTGCTTAACCACCCTCCTAGCGAGAAACGTCTCCCTAATATCCAACCTCAGCTTCCCTTGCTGCAGCTTGAGCGCATTGCTCCTTGTCCTGCCATCTGCCCCCACTGAGACCAACCTTTAGGGAGTTGAAGGCTGTTATTAAATCCCCCCTCAGTCTCCTCTTCCCCAGGCTACAGCCGCACAGGATGCCACACTCCTCCTGGGCAGGGGTCAGAGCCTGGGGTCTAGGGGTGAGATACAGCCAGGGGCTGAGCTGTGAGGTCACCTCAGGCAGGGGCAGAAGCCTCCTCCCATGCTCTGCCAGGAAGGTGGGGGCCTTGCACCTACCTCCCCCAGAGTCCCGCAGCTTGCCCGGCTCCATCAACCCCTGGGGGACTGGGGCTCAAGCTCCTAGACAGCAGCTTTGCCATCAGTCACGGGGTGTCGGACCCGAGCCAAGCAGGACCCCAGGTCCGCCTCTCCAGCCTGGGCAAGCAGGAGGGATCCAGCGCCTGTGAGGAGGCTTCGGGGTGCTGCAGAAAGCCTGGCCGAGCCAGCGAAGCTTTCAGATGGTTTTTATTTTATACAAACAAGACAAACCCAAGCAGCATTAATTTAAAAAATTAAAAAAAAAAAAAGAAAAGGAAAAAAAAAAAAGGAAACCAAACCAAAGAGCAGGAAGGTGCCAGGAGCCCCGGCCATGCCCCAGCCCTTCCCGTAGTGTCTGGTGGCTGCAGGCGCCACCTCGTCCCTCCCCACAGGGCAGGCATGGGGATGCGGGTTCAGGAGGGAGTTGAAGTGGCGCGTTGGCTTGGCACGGCCAGCCCCTGCCCGCCCGCCCACCAAGGCTTTGCTAGTAACGTGTGCGTGGCTGCCGGGTGGCCCGTCCCCCCACCCACCCCTGGGCGGAAGTGTTTAACCTTCCTGCCCAAAGTCCTCTGTGAACTTCTTCACCTTCAGGAGGTCCTCGGCAT